TAAGTAATTTTTCTTTTTAGAGCATTTAAATATACTACATTAATTATTTAAAATGCATTATCATTCAATCCAATGTCCCTACTCTCAGCATTTGCAGAGAGTATTGTTAATGTGAAATGCTAAATGTGGTGAAGAGAAGTGGTCACTCACAGAATGAGGGACTAGATATTCACCTTTGTAGTATGATTTTAGTCCAATGCAACAACGATTTCTTGAGCAGCTACAACATGCTCGGCACTAAGCCAGGTGCTGAGAGCCCTCACGAGTCCTCCCTCTCCTTGGCGAGTCTATCGAGAGAATCACTGTTTAGCTAGAGTGGAAGATTTTGCATGTAAACTCTCTAGATTCAATAGTTATTGATTATGGTATATAGAGGGACAGGGTGCTGTTGCTCTGATTAGAGAGGAGACTTGATACCGAACCCAATAATAGAACTTAAAGAAAGAATGTGGCGTGTGGTTGGTAGAATCACTAATGTAAAGTGACTTAAACCTAGGACATCAATCGTTATTTCAATTATATTTTTAATTTAAGTTTTATTAAAGCATAGTTGGCATACAATATTATATTAGTGTCAGGTGTACAACATAGTGATTCAACATTTATATACTTTATGATATGATCACCCCAATAAGTCTAGTAACCACCTGTCACGGTGCAGTTATTAAAATATTACTGATTATTTTCCCTAGGCTGTACATTATACCCCCTGTGGCTTATTTATTTTATAACTGGAAGTTTGTATCTCCGAGTCTCCTTCCTCTTTTTCTTCCATTCTTCCTCACCCCACCCCCAGGCGACCATCAGTTTATTCCCTGTATCTATGAATATGTTTCTGTTTTATTTCAGTTCTTCAAACATATAACTAATGTTTTCTCCTTATGAATGTATTACTTGAATAGTTGGTCACAAAGCTACTAGTAATCTTTTATATGTATTATGTATGTCTGTAAGTAAATGCATCTTTTACTGTTGGGGTAACTCTTTTCTCTTTGTGGAATTTTTTACAGTATACTTCTAGTACTTCAGTACTAGAGTAGCATCATATTGTGTTATTAAATGAACTGTAGCAAGTCATAATGCTCATTTAGCATTTATTAAATAAATAAGGTAAAAATGTGGTTTCTTCTCACATTTTTAGGGTTTATATAACATTATAAGAGACACACAAATACGTTCAACTACTACCATAATTAATGTCTGTTTTCAGTGATTTATTTTGTCTATATTACAAATTTTGCAGAGGCACATTTTCCATTCAACTTCTTTTTTTTTTAATCTTATCATCTAGTAAGCTTTCTTTTTAAATTGTATTTATTTATTTTTATTTTATTTCATTTATTTCTTTGTTAATCCTCACCAAAGGATATTTTCCCATTGCTTTTCAGAGAGAGTGGAAGGGAGAGAGGGAGGGGAGGGAAAAGGGTGGGAGGAAGGGAAGATAGAAGGGAGAGAGATAGAGAGAAAGAGAGAGAGAGAGAGAGAGAGAGAGAGAGAGAGAGAGAGAGAGAGAGGAGAGAAAAGTGTGAGAGAGACACATCAACTGGTTGCCTCCTAAAAGTGCCCTGACCAGGGGTGGAGAGTGAACCCTGCATCCTTTGACTGGGAATTGAACCTGTGACCCTTCAGTGTGTGGGCCAAGACTCTAACCACTTAGCATCATGGGCCAGAGCTAGTAAGCTTTCTTAAGTAGCTTGAACTTGACATCACCATCTCTGCTTAATATTTTTACTATTACTATTAACTAGAGGCCCAATGCACTTAATTCGTGCAAGAGTAGGCCTTCCTTCCTCCAGCTGCCAGCACCAGCTTCCCTCTGGTACCCGGGACCCGGGCTTCCCTTGCAGCCCCAGCTTCATCCGGAAAGGCATCTGGGAGGACATCCAGTCTAATTAGAATATTACGCTTTTATTATTATAGATGACTTTAGAGAGAGAGGAAGGGAGAGGGAGAGAGAGAGAGAGAAACATTGATGTCAGAGCTCAACATGGATCATGGCTCGGCTGCCTCCTGCATGCCCTCTACCAGAGATTGTGCCCACAACCCAGGCATGTGCCCTGACTGGAAATCAAACCAGCAACCTTTCAGTGCAAGCAACAATGCCAACCAACTGAGCCACACTGGCCAAGGCATCACTGCTTCACCTTAAAGGACCTGAAAGAGATGGTGTTGTGAACTTGAATTCTCTAATTTTCTCTGGCTTCCCCAGGAAAGCTGTGAGTGAGAGCACAGTAGATTCAAGGAAGGAGAGTGAGGGAGAAGGTGCATTTTTTTTCTTATTGTGCTGCTCATTATTATGAAAATATGCAGCTAGCCTCTGGAATGAAGTGGGAAATGGAGAGTACTCAGATGGGAAATGGGATAGGGAAATATAATTAATTTCCCTGACATAATTTTATAGCTTGGTTTCACTTTTTAAGAAAGTGTTGTAAACTCCTAGAACAATGAAAGAACCAAATTGAAGTATATGTAATATAGAAACACACTGTAAAGCTAAATAGAATTCCTTTTTTAAAAAAAATATTTTTATTGATTTCAGAGAGGAAGGGTGAGAGAGAGAGAGATAGAAACATCAATGATGAGAGAGAATCATGGATCGGCTGCCTTCTGCACACCCCCTATTGGGGATCAAGCCCACAACCTGGGCATGTGCCCTGACCGGGGATCGACTCATGTCCTCCTGGTTCATAGGTTGATGCTCAACCACTGAGCCACTCTGGCTGGCCCTAAATAGAATTCTTAAAAATTATTTACCATGTGGAATTATTAGAGCCACTTCCTGTCACCATCCCCATTAGACTAGACAACTTAAATGGGTTCTAGATAGAGCATGGGCCTGTGTATGTTTCCTTCTCTGTAAGTTAATTTTGTTAAATGCAATAAAATGGCGTGAATGCTTTAAGAAAAATGTAGACATCACTGGTTCCTGAGCTGTACCTATCTGAGAGCCAATGCGTACTCTGGTTGTGAAGAGATGAACATGATTTGTGAGAAGGACCCCAGTAAATTAAGAGAGGTGAGCATGCCTACCATTTGGCATTATACTCAATCAAAAACATTGTGGGGGTATACTTATGATTTAAGCAGCCATTATTGTGTGTGCCCCTTGTTAACAGATGGTAAACAGATGACTGTAATTATTATAAATTTTATACAACCAATCTAGAAAAATGACTTTGAGACCCTGATGAAGGTCCCTCAGTCTTTAGGGAGGGCTAGAGCTCTTCTTTCTGATGCAGGGACCTGCTGTCCAGGTATGAGTGATGCTGGATGACAGATGGCTTTGCCTAGGATACTGCGAACCAGGGCTCAGTGAACTTACAGAGAAGCTATCTCCCTCACAGTAAAAGTTGCTTCCAATCCATTAAAGAGCAAATATGAAGCAAAGTAAAGACCAGGGGGTGAAAAGGAAGACAGGAGTGCAGGAGGAGGGCAGGGACCAGGACAGTGCAGCCCAGCAGCTGAGGACCACAATGCTCCCAGATCTCCTGAAGAGATGCTCTCCCAGGAGGGTGCTGAGGGGTGTGAGGTAAAGAAAATCTCTCTATCCAAGCATTGCAGTGGGTGTTCCATACATTAGGAGAGTGTTTGCGTCACCATAAAACACTCTAGAAGACCTGGAGAAGGAGGAAGATCCATTATTCACTTCTAAGTGTTAACTAATGTCTCCATTTGATTTTCTGGACTCCCGCCTCGCTGAGGTAGAGCTTAGGGACACAGGGTGTGATGGAGATTCTTTAGGGGCTTTGGGCAACCAAGTGGAAAATGAGAACATTGGGCCCCCAGAAGATGGAGGGAAAATGCATTGGGTCAGGAGGAACCAGAGGGGTGAGAAAATGAGTTAAGGGAATAAAGGAAGGTGGTAAGAAGATAAGAGGGAGAATGTGGGTATAGCCTGTGGGCCTTGATTCATGCACTGCAGAGTCCAAGTGTCTGCAAGGCATTGAGATGGGCACACTGCTTGGTGGATATTACTCTGGGAACTTAATTGACAAAGGAATTTAAACCAATCAAACGTACATGAGACAGACGACTGCTTCAGATGTCAGTTTCTTCATTCATACGCAGTAAGAATGAAGTTCCAACCAATGAGGAACTCCCAACATGGTCTTCCTTCACATGGGAGATGTGTGTAATGCTGGCCCACACCTGACAATAGGTCCCTCTTCCCAGTGCCTTTGCCTCTGGTGTTCTGTGGTCTGCTGTCTCTTGCCCACCACACAGTTCTGCTCTCTGTGTTTTCTTTGCAAAGCACTTGTTTTATTTGATCACAGAATGCCCTTTCTACGAACCCACTCTAATAACTATAGGTTCATTCCGTCAGAGAGACAATATCTAACTGAATTGTGGCAACCATTGATCAAAAATAAGTTTGGGCCTTTATTGTTTTTTTGGAGTAACCTAATTTTTGGACACCCTGTGCTTTAGGGAAAAGTCAAAACTATATATTTCTGAAGCCATAGTCTCCCGACTCCTTCCTGTTTTAATGACGATGAAGCGTTCCGGTGTGGTGATAGATTTGTCCCCGGGCCTTTGCAGGCCACAGTAAGGAGAGTGCTTTAAAGTCACATGGCATAAAATGAAGTTAGTCTTATGTGCCCTAATCTACATTGTATTCTATGAATTCTCTTTACTAAAGAACATACATAGTTCATAACTAAGAAAAACTCAACAGGAGACTCAGTATGTTTTGTGGATCTGCATACACTTTTTAATGTAATTTAAGGGGAAAATATCAGTGCCAGAAATGATACCTCAAAGATAACAGAAGATTCAGAGTGCAACAGGTTACTAAAGTTCCTCAAAACCTCACTGGCAGGTTGTCTCATTAGAATGTGGTCCCTGGGGAATATTACAAATAAATTCCATTGTCCACTAACCAAGAGGGGCATGATGGCCCATTTTGAAAATCCAGTTCCGAGTGACTCCCACACCAAAAACCACCTGTGAGACACAGAGCCCCAGTTAAAGAAAAGCCGAGAGGTTCTTCGGTGCATCCCTCAGTAAGCTCGGCGGCACTCATATGACCCCCACACCATGCTCCCGTCCTCTTTGGTCCATGAAGAAGGGTCCTGAAGGGCAGAGGCATCTGACCCCTCGTCTGGCGAGAGGGGCACTGCCTTGGGTGGCAGGTCGTTGGACACTGTGCTGAAGGGGGCGAAGGGATATGGGGACGGGGTGGGGTACCCTGGTGTGTGGTACAGATCCTCTAGTGCATGCAACGAGTAAGACTGAGCTCCAGCCAGGGGAGGCCCCCAGCTGGGGCTGCGGTGCTGGGCAGTGCTCCCCGACTCCAGCTGGGAGAGGCAACTCGTGCTGGGTGGCAAGGTCTGCAGGGTGTCGGTGGGCACAGGGTCGAGCTGGCTGAGACCATCCGGCACTGTCTGCTCCCAGGAGTCTCTCTGAGGAGAATGGAAAGGTCACCAGGGTTAGTCATTAGAGGAGACTCTGGTGTGGACAGACTTCCTCCCCAGCACGGGTGCTGCTCAGAGAGGGCTTGGTGTCCTCCCTGTCGGAAGCCTCCTGACCGGCAGCTTTTCCCTCTGGGATTGACACAGCAGTGACGTTTTAGTTTCCTGTGTGTAGGAAGATTCCTTTCCCAGACCACATTAAATGAGTGAAATGTGCGAATAAGAAGATGGACATTTATACCGCAGTTTGACGTTTACAATGCACCATGTCTTGCATTCTTTTTGAGTCAGGGTCCTAGAAAGCTCTTTCCATGGTGGGAAGTCAGACAGCGGCTCCTGGAAGGAGTGGGCCTCTCAACTACTAAAGGGCGTTTGAGTGGGCCGGGAAGGCCACCTGTCTTGCCCAGCAAAGAGGTGGGAATTGCATTGGCTCAGGATGGAAAGATTGTGAGTCCTATCATCTTCCATCCTGACACTTACTAGGTTCAATCTTTCCATCCTGTGACACTTAGTAGGTTCAATCTTTCCATCCTGTGGCATTTAGTAGGTTCAATCTTTCCATTCTGCGACACTTACTAGGTCCAGCCTTTCCATCCTGACACTAGGTTCCTGACTGAGCACTTGCTTTGTTTCATGTAATTTAAGGGGAAATGAGGCTTTAACAATGATATCTTGGGATGTTGCAAGGAGTAAATGAACAAAGGCACAGGAAAGTTCTTGGCTGGAGTAGGTCCTTAGTCATGTCCCCCCAAGCTTTATCTAAAATCCCATTTTTAGAGCGATTCATTCCTTTGGGGTTGAAGGCTGTTTTCTCTAAGGAGGGTGTTGGTGTTCAGATCTATACGAACTCCCCTTTGGAAGGACTGAGAGAACAAGGTTCTAGAGGGTGGAAGTGCTGTGGGAGGGGTGGACCAGGGGTGGGAAGCACAGTGGGATGCGTGTGCCTGGTCTGAGGTGTAACTGCAGGCTCTCCCCTTGCGCTGGAGGAATGATGGGAGAACACCCGGCCAAGCCAGCAGAGTATTAACAAAATGGTTATAAAACCTTCGTCAAACCGGTTCAGGCCTCAGGGTAGACCCTCCTGCTGTCGTGGGTGGGGAAGATCTTTGAGGAAGGCCCCTTCGGAGAGTACCCTGGGGGGCGTCTGTCCTGGCATCCCAGGGGGCAGGTGCAGGGCAGCCTCGGGGGTCTCCAGGGCGACCATACCTGGCTGCAGTCCTGTTGCCAAGCCCTGATCTCAGTCACCCCCTAAGGGGAAAGAGATGCATACTCACCAGCACGAAGTGTGCGGGGTCGCTGGGGAAGGGCGGTGGCAGGAGCGGCGGCAGGGGCGAGGCGCTGAATAGAGGGCCTGCGCTGGGGGTGAGGGCCGGCGGGCGGTGGTCCCCATAGGCCTCCGGGAAGTAGGGATCTAGGAGGGCGGGGTGGCTCTGCCCGGCTGAGGACTCGCAGGGAAAGGGCCTGGCCCCGCTGGAGGTGCACGCATCGTTTGCAAATTGCTTGGTGCTGTGGAAGTCCGAGTCGGACAGGAAAGATCTTCGGACGCCGTAGTACCCGGACATGACCGGTGAACCTGCTGCCAAGTGAAAAGCACACAGGCACACATTTCCTCCTGGGAGGGCCCCGGCGCCTCTGTGGCACTTGCTCCAGCACACGCTCCCATCAAGGCCGCGTTTAGATACATACACGTCTCCAACGTGGTAAGTGTGGCCACACCACCTCTTTCATCTGGTCCAGCCCAAACAATGATATGTTTACCTACAGTTCTCTCTGCCTGCCCCGGCTGAGTTCACTTCAGATGGTGCAATAGCTATTTCATGGTTCCCTCACTCTGTGTGCATGTGCTGGGCACCTTCTATGGGCCAGGCACTGAGCTAGGGAGGGGCTGGCCCACAAGAGATGAGAATGAGTTGGGTTGACATTTTATGGGATGAAGCATCTTTCCCACAGCTTCTGAGCTCTGTCCTCACATACACAGGGCCACTCACAAGAGCCTGCTTCTGGCACTTTATCTGAGCTTCAGTGTCTCTAGATAAGGTGATACTCTGACCCCATCCCAATCCAGAGGCAGGTTGTATCCTACTAGGGATGGAGTCCGCAACCACAGCATATGCCCTTGACTGGAATCAAATCTGGGACCCTTCAGTCCTCAGGGGGCATTCTATCCATTGAGCCAAACCAACTAGGGCTACTGACTGACTTTTAACATCCACCTGGTTTGCTTTGGAATGATATGGCTTCTACGCAGTCAAGTTAGGGGAAGGACCACAAAAAATTGTCAGGCTTTGGGGAGACGCGTGTTATTTGCTGCCCTCTTGTGGCCATAGTGTCGGCACTGAACGCTTGGAAAGAGAATGCCTGGCACAGAGTTTCCCTGAGGAAAACGGGAAGAAGATGAAACTAAGAGTCATATATAAAGCTAAGGCGAGTGCAATGGACCCAGAAGGAAAAAGAGGTGTCTGCTAAGGACTTTCTGACTCTGTCGCTCAGTTGTAGCAGGAAACATGATCACTGAGAACATGTTCAGGGCACGGGCTCAGCCAGTGAAACTGTCCTGCTCATGGTGGGTGTGCTTTCATCAGACAAGGCCGACACCTGCAGGCTGAAGTGGGAGGAAGATGCAGATGCTTGACTTGCCTGCCTCCCCCCAACCACAGCGACCACTTCAGAGCTTTGCCCCTGCCCGCCCTCCCCACTCGTCTGTAGGGAGAGAAGTCAGACTGCCCTTTGTATCATGACTCAGCCATAGGTCACTCCGCACCCAGCACCTCGGCCTTGTCACCTGATGTGGCACTTCATGTGATGCTCACTACTCTCTCACCCGAGTTACAACTTCTTTCCTACGAGTGTCCTGGGGGCAGAGCTTAGTGTTTTGATACATTTTCTGTAAACAGATTATTTTATTACTGTGTTCAACAATGACATGTAAACTTATTCATCCAGAAGCCCTTGTAGAAACGTATAGCACAATGCTACTTACTCCATCTTTATCTTAAGGTCTATAGCCCCGAACTTCTAATTTGCTCATGAATTTGAAAGCTACAGTTAGGGGCTTTATCATAAGCACATTTCTCCAGGGGAAAAAGAGAACTGGAGCAAATGAAAATTAGAATCAATACCTAAGGTTCTGTTTCATACCACAGAGTTATATCCGAGGGAGTGGTTATGGCTGAGAACAGAATTAAGACTATGTACACAAATAAAAACAAGCACAAAGAAAGACCCTCTGCTCTGTTAAGCATATTTTTTTTTCTCCTTAAGAAGAGGAAGAATAATTTTAGGTGGTAAGAGAAGCTATCTAAGTTTCTCTTATATAAAAAGGAGCAGAATTCAGTAACAATAACATGCGAATGGGGAAACACAATAGAGACATTCAGACATGTGAACCTTCTGCTTATTCCTTTCCCCATCCACCTCTGAAGGTTCCTAAAATTATTAACACAACGTCACCTCTGAGTTTGGGATCTGGAAAGAATGTGTGTGTGCATATATGGAGTGCCCACTACTGTTATCAAGAATGCCTCTTTTGGGTCCCCACAGGGGCATCTAATGAGACATATGTATTTAAATGAACACAAGACACTTCATTCAGTGCCTGACATATAGAGAGAACTCAATATGTGCTCGTTTCCCATCTGCCCACAGGTCACTCTCCTTGTGCACTAAAGCAGGTGCATAATCCATCAGATCACGATGTCAGGATTTTAGACCTTTTAAAATTGTAGCAAGAGCCGAAATGCCATTGCTTTTGCTCAATAAGCCTCTGCTAGGCAGGTGATCAAAAGGCTGCCTGCAAGACAGCGTGAATTCTAAATTCAGGAATGACTGAATTAGGCCTCTCTTCACTGATTTTATATTTTGTAAACAACTATTTTAAGGAAGCAACATTTAAAACGTGCCGTTGGACAGCTATAAAAGAACAAGAGCGCAGGTGTCCCATTGAAACTCAAAAGGGAATGGATGTGCTGCTCGTTGGGCTCAAGTACTCACCTGGCACCTGGACAAATGGAGACGGAGAGGAACCGACGCTGCCCTGGAAGGCAAAGACAGCGAGTGTTTTCTTCATTAGAAGCACGTTTGGATTTAAGGAAAAAAGATCAGGAATGCATTTTACAAACCTTGTTTTCTGATGCGAAGGAGCACTGTTTAGGGGGGTTAGATTGGTGGGAGTCAACTGAGACTAAGCATGTAGGCACCGGAGAACAAAGTTTTACAGGGAACACAGAGAAACCAAAGTTTTAGACGCTGGTGATCATGCCAAAAAGCACTGGCTAGAAGAAATGGAATAATCTACCCTTTGCTTTTTATTGTTTGCATTAATATTCTTCATCAAATCTATATCAAGTATAGTATCTATCTATCTATCATCTATCTATCTATCTATCTATCATCTATCTATCTATCTATCTATCTATCTATCTATCTATCTATCTATCATCTATCTATCATCTATCTCTACCTATCTGCATGGCATTTGGCTTCAACATTGAATTGCCACAATTTTAATATCTGCCTTTATGTAGAATCAAGTGTCACCGAGGGTGGGGACCCTGACTGTGATTTGTCTTCAGTGCCCAGATCAGAGTGTAGTTCATAGTCAGCACAATAAAAATATGTGGCAGAAATATACAGTCCTCTAAACCACAGGTAGTGAGCTTGGGAGGGTGGGGGATGTTGTCAGTTGAATTATATCCTCCAAAAGGTATACTGAAGTCCTAACACTCAGTCCCTGTGAACATGACCTGATTTGGAAACAGAAACTTTGAAGATGTAGTAGTTAAAGTAAGATGAAATCATACTGCACTAGGGTGGGCCCTAGATCCAACCTGACTGGTGTCCGTTTAAGACAGCGGTTTTCAATCTGTGGGTCGCGACCCCTTTGGTGGTCGAATGATCCTTTTCACAGGGGTCGCCTAAGACCATCCTGCATATCAGATATTTACATTACGATTCATAACAGCAGCAACATTACAGTTATGAAGTAGCAACGAAAATAATTTTATGGTTGGGTCACAGCATGAGGAACTGTATTTAAAGGGCCACGAGGTTGAGAACCACTGTTTTAAGAAGAGGTGAGAGACACAGGCACAGAAGGGAAAAGCCATCTGAAGACAGAGGCAGACATTTGAGTGATACACCCTCAAGCTAAGGAACACAAGGATTGCCAGCAGCCACGAGAGCCAGGGAGAGACAAGGAGGGAGGCTCCCCTCGAGCCTTCAGCGGAAGCAGGCCCTGCTGGAACCTCCATTTTGGACTTCCAGTCTCCAGGGCTGTGACTAGATAAATTTCTGTTGTTTTAAGCCACCGCATTTGTGGCTTTGTTATTTGAGCCCTAGGAAACCAACGCAAGGACTGATGGACGATTAAATAGATGCTTCGCTGCAGTGTGAGAGGTGGCATGGTCTGGCGAAGATGTGGGAGGAAGGCACTTAAGCTGGAGTTAGGGATGGGTGAGGAACACATCCTGGAGGAAGTGGTGCCTAAGCTAACCTCTGAAGGGAAGTGTTTCCAGGTGTACAGAGTCTTAAAATATACAAATGCAAATCTGGCTTTAAGATGATCAGGGACAAAGTGAAGTGGAAAATGTAGCTGTTTAATAAAAGTTGAATCCTCAGTAGCCAGTTCTATGGATCTGAGTTCTTGGCCCTGACTGTCACAGTCCTGTAGACTCTCAAGTGTGGAAGAGATTTTTATGGATAGTCTCATCCAACCACTCACTCGGTGCGAAATCCTCTCCATGCTAACACTGCATGCAGTTAGCTTCTAGTGCTAAAGAAATCTGCTGGGGGTGGGGGGTTGAGGGAGGGAGTGATTAATGGGGAATTTATATGTGTATATGCATAACCCATGGACACAGACAATAGTGTGGTGAAGGCCTGGGAGGAGTGGGTGTGGGGTGGGGGTGGAGGAGGGGGTGTCTTTGAGGGGGGAAGGGTACATCCAGTTTGATGGATGTAAGTATTGTCTCCTCAGCATCTGTCAGCCATTCTTTCACCAGCTGCCATGGCTCTGCCCCTAGACTCTATGGAAAGCATGGATAGAGCTCAGTCCATGGTGCCATGGCCCTTCAGATTTTGACTTCTCTGTTGTAAAAGCTTTCCTAGCTTTCCCTCCACCACCAATCCTCAGGATCTTCTTACACCCCTTCTTCTTCTTCTTCAGCCCAGGTTTAGTTCTTATTATGGAATTCCCTGCACCATATTCTCTCCAACCGAATTTTAATACCTGAGGACTCTACAAAGGTTTTACAATCTGAGTGTAGTTTATGTTATTTATTATATGATGAAAATAAGCCTCTTGTGTTCATTTTTCCTGCGTAATTTTGCCCCTCCCTGATGTGGAAATTAAACTCTCTATCTCAATTCTTTATGGTTACCCATAAAATGTTACCTTGTATATTTATCAAAGACTACAAAGAATATAAACCTCTCACCGACAGACAAGATCCTTAGAACATTAACTCTTACTACTGCTCTCTTAATTTACATATGTACATTTTCTTTCATTTTAGCTAGTTTTTGTTGTTGATTGTCGCTTTTTAAAAAATATTTTTATTGATTACAGAGAGGAAAGGAGAGAGAGAGGGAGAGAGAGAGAGAAACATGAGTGATGAGAGAGAATCATTAATCAGCTGCCTCCTGCATGCCCCACACTGGGAATTGAGCCCTCAACCCGGGCATGTGCCCTGACTGAGAATTGAACCATGACCTCTCCCAGTTCATAGGTCAACGTTCAACCACTGAGCCATGCCAGCTGGGCTTAGCTAGTTTGTTTTTATTAAACTTATACAAATTAGGCATTGTAATTACATTATCTGCTTGCTCTTCTTCCAGACTTTTTCCCTAGATTCATTTTCCCTTCTTCTAAACTAAAACTTTAGAACATTCCTTTTGTGAAGGTGGTGTTGGTGATAAACTGTTTCAGTTTTATTTATCTGAAAATATTATTTCTTTGGCCCTTGTATTTAAAATATAATATTGCTGTATTCACAACTATAACTTTATAGTTATTTTTCTGCTGGCACATACCACTCCATGACTGGCTTCCATGATTGCTGTTGAGAAGTTTGCTAGCAACCTCACAGTTATTCTTTGTGACTATCTTTCATTTCTTTCTGAGTGATTTTTAAAAATATATATTTTGTTGAATTTTTAGAGAGAGGAAGGGAGACAGATAGAGAGTTAGAAACATCGATGAGAGAGAAACATCGATCAGCTGCCTCCTGCACACTCCCTACTGGGGATGTGCCCGCAACCAAGGTACATGCACTTGACCGGAATCGAACCTGGGACCCTTGAGTCCGCAGGCCGACGCTCTGTCCACTGAGCAAACCGGTCAGGGCCTGAGTGATTTTTAAAATACTCCCTTTGTCTTTAAGATTTTTCAAGCTCACCTCATTTTATCTAGAGGTAGATTTTTAAAAATTTATCCTGCTTGGTATAGGATGTGCTTCATGTGTCTGAGAATTAGTTTTTCATAAGTTCTGGAAAAGCTTCATCCATTCTCTTTTTTGATAGTACCTTGTCTGTATTACCTTTATTCCGTCCTTCTGGGACCCTTGTTTAGATGAATGTTAAACCTTTTACTTTTATCCTCTGTATCCCTTAACCACTCCTTTCTTTATATTCATGATTCTCCCTTCTATATTTCAGTATAGATTAGTATAGAGTTCTTCAAATCTACATCCAGCTCTCTTATTCTTTCTTCAACTATAGTTAAGTTTCTGTTTAACTCATATATTGAGTTTAAAAATGTGTTAATGGCCCTAGCTAGTTTGGCATCGGCCTGCAGACCGGGGTGGGGGGGGGGGGGGG